CACGGCTTGTGACTCGGACACGTCTCCGTTAACATATGACCCCCGTTCTTCGAGATCTTCAATGGCTTCCTATTGTACAAAGCTTTCGCTTTAAAATTTTATGTTTAACCTTTAAATTAATTTTCGATCCTTCGATCCTGCGTATTTAACTGAACTTATTTGCATATAAACACCGAAACGTTTAACAAGTTCATCAGAAGTTGTCAGACTCAACTTGCCAAATATGAAGCCCAACAAAACATATGGGGATAGAGCATTTATGCACAGCGCACCGAAGGCTTGGAATGAATTGCCTGTTACAATTAGAAATAATGAAAAATATGAGTCCTTTAAAGTGTCGTTGAAAACGTTTTTGTTTAAAGAATATTACAACCAATTCTAAATATTTAGCATTGTTGAAATAATTTACTTCAACATTCTACCAACAATATTGTAAAGCGCGTTGAGATACTATTTGTATATAGTAATGTGCTATATAAGAATAAATTATTATTATTATTATTATTATTATTATTCAAAAAAAAAAGGCAGCGATAATCTCGTATGATATGAATTTTGTTATGTCATTCATATGATTTTCGATGCCTCTGAATTTAAAGATAACTTTCGAAAATCCAAATCGAAGCAATACAAATCGACGGATTTTAAATGAATCGCCATTTTTCCGTTAGATATGACTTGTCACATGTCATTTACTGATCTCAAAAATGAATTTCGAGAAGTAATGATGGCAGAAATTCAAAATTGCCTGCACAAGTTTATCCAAAATTGCAGAATTTTGTTATATGTCTTATATATGTGTCTAAGGGTTGCTGGGTTTAACTCTGATCTCAAAAATAAATTTCGTGAATTCTTGATGGCAGAAATTCTAAACGACTGGCAAAATCTAAAATTGTGGAATTTTAATTAATCGTCATTTGTTTTCCGTTGGATGTGGCTTGTAATATGTCTTATGGTTTCTGGGTTTAACTTCTGTCTAAAAAACCTAATTATGAATTGTCCAGATGCTGTAAATATAAAACGATAATCAAAATAGAAACCAGAATGGCGATATTTGTCCTTGGGGATATTGCTTGTAAAATAAGGTTTTTAGGGATAATGAATTCAATATTGGTTTCAAAATTTCAGATACGACTGTCACACACAAAATGTAACCCTGCAGTTCAGATTGCGTCTCTAAGCCATGATATATCCCGTAGAGTCTCTAAACAATTATGTACCCTGTAGTTCGGATATAGTCTCTAACCCACCGTGTATTTCAAATAGAACCTCTAAACCATGATGTTCCCTCGAGAACATTAAATTGGGATATTCAGAAAAATATCTTGTGATCACGGTATTTCGAGAAAGTATTTCGGAGGATGTCGACATGGCCCATATACGCTTCCGTAGAAAATAAATGTGTTTACAGTTTAATTATACTCGACAGATACTATATACGTATGTCATTGGTGATTTAAATAGAGCATACGAAATAAAACTCCTTAATCCCAGCTACAATGACTTTGACTACATTGACTTCATTCCCACGACGCCACCTTTACAGAGCGTGACCAAAATTAATCCTTCTAACGAAGGCGCAGATATGAACTTGTCGGCTTTAATTTGAAGGGAGGCATGCTGTTATTAGGACCCTATTAACGGCGTTAAAGATTTTATGAAATTTATGTTCACTCTTAATTTTATTCACCAATTGGCAACTAATAACGAAAATCATCATATCATCCAAGTATTCAATATGAATCTTAATATAAATATGCCGAAATCCAAAGCCAGCTCCAGGAATTAAAAAGTAGACACGAAGAAGAGGAATTAATTTAAGTCGACTATTTAGACAGGGTGTCATATTTTGCAAAATTAAATTAATTTGTTTATATTTATTAAAGTTATATTCCAAACATGTTAAAATGTTAGTTAATAATTCACATTGGAGATTGTGAAAGTGTAAATTCTTATCATAACAATCTATAACTAAATTATTACAATTTTTAATTCATTTTAATCCCTGAAAGCTGGATTCCGACGAAGGCGTCGAAAACGACCTCCTTTAATCCGTTAGGTCAATAACTGCGCCTTCGGGGAATAAACCAAGTGAAGTGGCTGCTGACTGAAACACAAGATTAGACATCACTATTATAATATTACTCACGATAACTTTTAGGTCATCAACACAGATATTACGGTTATTTAGCAGTCTGTTGCAGCTATTTTTATATAGCCCGTTCCATTCTGTTTCACACATCTCTCTTCTCACGTCTACGGATTTTAATATTGTGTTGTTGTTTTTATTTAAGTGACCTTTTTTAATAAGTAGAGGATATTCGCCATCCGAATGGCAAAGACTAATTCGCCATTCGTTTTCGTTATTTGCCATTCAGTTCTTTTAAATCGATATTCTCTGTCCTATCACCATGTCTTATCAAGGGGTAATGCTACCAAGCATTTAAAGTAATTTAACTTTGCCCTTAAAATGAACAAACTTCATTTTCATTGCAGTAAAAGTGCGAAATAACTACTACAACAAACATTGATTGACATGATGCGATTGGAACGATTTTTATGGCCTAGCGGTGCCTACCCGAAAATGTATAACCATACTTTATGACCTGTCTATAAAATCCTAATTCTGCTCTTTAGGTCTCTTAATGGAAAGAAAAAATTCATTCGATAAAAATAAATATACTGAGCGCCATGGAAAACGCATCATTTAGTTTTTCGTATAACACAATCATATTGTAAACAGGCCATCATCACGGTAGGCTACAGCATTAACGCGACCCTTGCAAATGTGTAGGGCGGTCCGGTGATGAAATGTGAAGCCTCCCCACACCATTACACTTCCCCACCCCATCGATTCGTTTCGAAGACGCAGCAGTCTGCAAGACGTTCCCCAAGACGTCTCCACACACGTTGAAGGCCGTCAGCGTGATAAAGATGAAAGCGACTCTCATCACTGAAGAGCACACTTTGCCAGTCTACTCTTCTCCATGTCTGGTGTCCTTGAGACCATAGCAAACGCCGCTGACGGTGATAATCCCGGAGGATAGCTCCAACACAAGGTCGTCGTGCACTGAGTCCTACTTCTCTTAGACGACGTCTTACGCTGTTGGCACTTACTGGTCCTTGTCTTCCGACGACTGCTGCACCTGTTCGAGTCGCTGGGCGGAATCTGTCACGCAGATGAGTGACCCGGATGTAGCGGTCTTGAGCCTGGGTTGTAACGCGTTGTGGACCAGAACGTTGACGGTCACGTGTTGATCCAGTAACTCGAACACGTTCCACCAATCTTACAATAGTGGACTGATGACAATTGAAGTGTCTGGCACTAGCACGTGTAGACATGCCAGCCCTGGACATTCCCATGGCTTCATTCCGTTGATTTTAGTATGTCTCGGCATCTCTAGCTCGATTCCTTCACACGTCCAACAACAAATTACGACAGATTGACGTTTCACAGTTCATGTACTGCACATTAAGTTGAAAACATGCTTTTAAAGGGCTCACACACAATGCTGCACGTGAATATTGGGTTTTTCATGTGCATCTCGTGCATTTCTTTTTTTTCACACGTCCCGATATCTTTTGCGTTTGGGAGCATTGTGTGAAACAATAGTTCATAGTATTGCATAATATTATACATACAAAACCACCTAGTAATAAAATATTTGGGTAAAAAAGTGATGCGTTTTCCATGGCGTTCAGTATACGTTAAAATGTGTGAAATAAGACAACAAAAAATATTCAAATATACTGATTCGGAAGAAAACGTGGTTAAAAATGAAATATATGCGAAGATAAAACAACCCAAGCCTACGGCTAATAAATGTAAAAAAAGCGAATGTCGTAACGTTATTGTGATAGCATAGAAACACAATAAAATGGCCCGACGATTCGTTGTTACACGATGAAAGAATTAGCTAGAAATTGAATTTTAAATGTTTTTGTTTTCTTATACTTCAATAAAATATGATTCCTTTGCTTATGACAGGTTGGTGTTTTTGCTGTTTAATTGATATAACGGAAAGACACCGGCTACACTGGAAGGCTATTAAAGGAGGAACAAGAATATCTTGTGAACTTCAATCCAAGCATTGCGTACTTTTTATGGATTGCCAAAAGTACACAAAAGTAATTAAGCTAATTCAAGATGCTGTAAGACGAACTAATCATGAAGTTGTAAATATAAAATGTGTTAACGTTCAGGCCAATAGTAGGCGGACCAATTAGTAGTACCCAAAACCTTAGCTACTTCATTGATATCATTCTGAAACCGCTATGTTCTAAAGCCAAAGTTTTCTCCGCGATAATATAGATTTCCTACATAATGTACCTAAGTGAATCGATATAATAACATCAGTATAATAGTGTGATTATTTGTTTCTAGTTTGTCTCGTAGCATCACCATATGTTTGGCGGAATATAGCCCGGTTGGAGCTGACCTGCCCTTAAACAATATTTCATTCATTCATTCATTTGTAAATAATTTTAAACATTGTTTGAAGAAGATAAAGAGTTAAGATAGAGAGATAATTAACAAGTCCGTCAAAGTGATAGTATCGCCGATTCGAATATTTACTGCTGGTCAGTTTGAGGAACACCCAAGATTCATGTTCAAGGATTATGGCTTCTTGGGTTATTCCCGTATGTTACGAAATCTTGTTGACAGCTTGGAAACGTTAATTAATTTTTTGATTTTTGAGAATTCGTATGTTTCAGTCATTGACTTCAAGCATACTACAATTCCATTCACTATCAAACTGATACAATACCAGTCACTATGAAACAATGGGAAACCACGCCGAAAAATCCTTCGCTTATGAAAACATGCCTTACAGTAATGACAAGACACCCTTTGCCATAAACTCATAAAAGTCATCACTACACTACTGTTTAAATCGTATAGAAAGTAGACCAATACTGTTCCAGATGAAAGGTTCAAGGTCATATTTTGTTTGCAATCGAAAGGTTATTCTATAACATTTAATCTACTTTTCCAGGGGTGCATCCATGATGTCTCGAAGATTGTTATCTCATAATGTGATGAATCCAGGTAAAGCAGGGACATCGTATGGCGAGGTGGCGTGGAGAAATAGACAATTTTATGATAATTGTAAAGACGGGGTTTTGACACGAGTAGGTTGGTTGAAGTTTTAAAATAAATATTGCCTGAATAATTGAGACTATAATTTTACAGTATCCCATCTGTCGCTTTTAACAAAAGATATGAGTAATACATACTGCATGTCTAATCGAGACTATACTTCCGTGCAGAAACTGGCTAATCTCATGACGCATAACTAAACTAACATTTGAAATGATGATTTGATCATTAATATCATGATGAGAACAAAGTTAGGACTTGGAAAGAACAATTCTAAGTCTAATCTATTGACAGGAAGAACCAATCTGTTTGAAGGTGGTAATGCGAAAGCCTTTTGGGTTCACGAGCTGTAAGCCTATAAGTCTATGTTTAACGGCACATCATACCGCCTTGATAGACGTAGTAATTTATATATTTCAGAGAATAGAACGTTGTTATTCTATGTGGAAGGATTTTAGTCCATTTAACAGGTGTGGTTGTTGACGTGATTTGTCACTAGCAAAACCGCTAATCTGTCCAAATGTTTCTTGTTTACGCTGTACAGCGGATTGTTTAGATATAATCCCCCCTTAGCAAAGTTTACAGAACCGACACCGGAAGCGTGCACTGAAAAAAAGTTATCAAATGTGAGACTTGTCAAATGGGTCATTATTTTTAACTGTAACTAACACCGGGCAGGGTAAATTATGTTATTGTTGTACATATATTTCTTTTTGAGTGCGTATTAAATTTTACGTACACGTTTCAATCCTTGGGCTCCGTCGGGGTAATAAAAATTGGGATAAATAGGACCTTGGCAATTGATGTCCAAACATTGAGGACTACTAAAGTAAAGGACAGTTCGGACAGTATCATTAACCTTGTCGAAATCAGTTGTCTCGGTATACCTTTTATCTTGTCATCGTTTATCGTGAAATAAAGTAGTACAGCTTTACGGCTGTGCCATTACTTTTGGATATACATGCATATAAATTATTACGTTGAAAAAATAAATAAACACATACTTCTTGACTAATGTTTTCAGTTCTCCAGTTCCTCTTCAGGTCATAAATTATTAAAGTAATAGCAGGCAATGACGTTAAGTCATAGCATGGTTACGAAACAATTCCAGATAATAACATATAACATCTAACATTATTAATAATCAATTATCCAATTAACCGATTTAAGGAGGGCATATATTTTTTAATAATCTTTTGTTTACATTCTAATAAATCATTAATTTTAGAATTTTCCATGTGGGTACTGACTTGGATTGTTCTGTTTTCCGGGTGCCAAATTTGTTGAAGGATGGAGATTTTCATTCGAATATTCAGTTGGTCATCAGTTTTCTCCTTTAGAACACCCGTTGCATATTTTTGGACTAGAAACTGGTCCCTAACAGCTACTCATCTTGTTCTTGTTGTTCTGGGGATGAAGCTCTTCGAAAAAGTCTAAGGCTCCGTCAATCCAAATCCGATCGACATAAAAATTGGCATGCTTCTTCTTTAACCAATTCTGCATAGATGTGGCGAATTCGCTTTTTGAATTGCATCCAACAACATGGTCAGTTTCTGGTCCATAGTACTATCGTACCCGTTTAGATAGACCACATAATTAGCTTTGCAAGTCATATTTGATTTCTGGATTGAATCACCCTCAATTATATATATATATATATATATGTGTGTTATTATTAGAAAACATGCTCAGTACTTCACATCCTAAAAGTCAACCATTTACAGTAGCTGAGTTTGGAGCAGCAGACGGAGCCGTATCAATGGAACTTATGAGGGATATTATAGGTAAGTTGGTGATTCCATCAACCATTATCAGTAAGGAACAACTAATATTTGTTCGGATGGGACGAAATATGAGGTCCCATGTGCATATTGGGGTTTAGCGTGCTACTGTTCTGTAATAATCCGGCTCAAAGTCAAAGGACGACATACAATGCGCTATGAGGGAAAGTCACGAGGCTTGTTCCATCCGAACAGCAAGTTTTTTTTTCATCATGATTGGATCAAAGTATTCACTATACAAATCTGATATATCAACTTTGACAATAATCTACCAGTTAAGAAAATTAAAAATCCTGGTTATCCATCGATTCAGAACATATGGCAATTCAAATTAATTATATGTATAAAATCAGGAACATTCGGTATCTCATAAGGATGCAACTCATACACTGGTTCGATCTCTCTTTTTTATCAAGGCTAGACTGCACAACGAATCACCCTAACCTTAACCCAGGAACTAGATTATCACACCAGCCCCCGAAGAATGTCATTGGTTAAGTATTAAATCAAGAATAAATTTTAAGATCTTGTACCTGTCGTTTAAGAGTTTGCATGGAAACGGGTCTAACTATCATGAAGATCTCTTACGACCCTTTTGTTCCTGGACGTATACCCTACTCCTTTCCCAAAAGACCTTTTTCTAGTACCAAAATAGAAACCCAAATCATTTGAACAAGAAACGTTCAAAATTAAATTTTAAAAAAAAACTCCTCTATTTACGGTCTATTACGAAAGTAAGACTTTGTAGCGCCCGGAGCATGCATATCATCATGGAACTGCGCGCGGTATATAAATATATATTATCTTTGTAGGTGTTATTCGAGAGAAGAGTCATCCAGATAAAGAAATACATATCATATATGAAGATCTACCCACAAATGATTTTAATTCATTATATAAACGGATGAATGGCTAGTTTGTAGTATTTCCTTTTTTTTTTTTTTTTTGAACAATTGTAAAATCGCCATTTTGGGTGGGGTTTGTTATCTTTTTCCCCTTGCAACTTTCGATTTCGATTTTTATTCGTATTGGATTTCAACACACGACACAGGAGCTTTTCTGTTGCTGCTCCTAAACTGTGGAACAGGCGGCCATCAAATATTAAGGATGTATATTCAAATCCTTGCTAAAAACATATCTATTCGGTGCAGATGATGGGAAACTGTCGTAAATATGACAGACTAAATACGAGGCGCTATACAAATCTATTATTATTAAATCCTTCAATGGAATTCTATGGATATGTACAAAACTTATTTAGCTTTCATTGGCGAATACTTTTATATCAATGGGATTTTGAATCATCTTTTATAACATTTATATCTTCAATTACAATCTATATGGAGAAGGCATCGGTAGGTTTTCGTAAATTATGTCCTAATCTTTTGTACTGTATAAGCAAGTGCAGGAAGACCGCATTAAACACAAAACAAACCTGCGGACAAGACAAGCTGTAATAAATTTCAAACAATAAACAACAAACGGTTAACTCTGCAGCGAGTTCGCACCCTTTTGGTAGCCTATCAGTATCACCATGAAAGACAAGTAGTCTTTACTAAGGTATATGACTAGTTCTGATTGGGTTTATCATCACCCCTGACGTTAAAGGATTCTACAAACACCCTACAAGAACCTATTCTAAACCCGTAGGAAAGATATTAACCAAAATTGATTAGTAACAAAAATATACAGATATCAGTCGCATTAGCTAGTACCAGTATTCCGGACAATGGTTCTCAACTGGAATATCATCGACCCCAAAAAGAGTTCAACACTTCTAATTTGTATAACTATTTTAAAATATTTTCCAGGAATTATACCTACCCCACGATCATATCTATTGGACTACGATAATGTGCGTGTAACGACCTCCGGTACCAGTTTCTTTAACCAATGTTTCCCTAGTAGCTCAATCGATCTGGCATTGGCTTTTAATACTACACATTTCCTATCAAAGTAAGTGATGTTTAACAATACAGCTCGAAATATTGTCTATACGCCCTCTGTGTAATATTGCTATACACAAGCAATACTGTGATGTAATAAAGACTTCACGTTGTGTTGATCAATAGTTTATTAAGGAACTGCATGTTCATAAAATACAAGGAGAGAGTGGATCTATACAGTTTGTATACATATGATACAATTAGAGGTGGGCGACACAGTTTGTAATCAAATGATACAAGGGGATGGCCGACGAGATCCTTCCTGTTCTAAAGGCTCAATACCACTCTTGTTGTAACTGAATAATATGTCCCAATCTTTATTCTGGTCAACTAATTGTACTATTTTACAGTATTCCAATTAATTGATGATACAAATTTCATCTTAACACACCTAATTTAAAAAATTGGAAAAATTCAAACTAAATGATTTGAAAAGCCTAACGTAAACCTTTTCAAATGTGACTTGGATATAAAATATTTTCGAACCCTCTGGACAAGTAAAATAGGATGTAATGGATAATTTACACAACAGTTAGACACTTAAACATCTAATACTTAGAACAAGGCTATTATTTATTTTCTGGAGCAGTAAAGCCAGCAAGAGTGTTATTATCCCTTTAACTACGCTACTAGTGTAGCACTATGCACCTGTATATATAGTTCGGCCACCAAATCAAAATATGTCATACGATGCAGTTCTATGAGTCGCTGGCTAGATGTAAAAATTACAAATCTACAACAACTCCACGCATCCAACGTGTATATCTTTTTATCAGTCCCAAAAATATCGTATGATTAACAAACAAGATGACAGGAACAAAAGTACGGTTTCTACAGTTTTATATTAAGTTGGGTACATAGGTTACAAGCATAGATTAAAAATAAAGTCCCTCTCCCCCACCATCTCTCTCTCAACCCAGATGTTGCCACTTGAACCTTAACGGTCTCTCCTAACGAATTTCTACATGATGTTTGCTCTCTCAACTCTAAATGGTTGTCTAAAAATCGCGCACATCTTGAGTGTTTTTCTATGCTTGGATTGTCGCTATCCATTTTCTAATTGGTCAAATATGACGTAATTTAATCATGTGGTTGGTCATGCCTCATACCAAAAGAGATCATTACCTAATTTGGCTAACAAACACATTCCATTACTATTAATATTTGATCATGAACGTGGCATATGCCAATGTGTCTAGTAATCTTACAGATCATTTCATGTTTCCTATCACCTCAGATTCCCGTTTCACGTGTTATTTTACTTGGCTATGAAACTGTAAACTATAATTAGTTTGATATCACTATACATATGCACAAATCTCGCATAAATTAAATTACCAAATAGTATTACAGAAGTCAAGAGAGCAAGAGTTGTCATAATCGGAAGGTGAGGTGAAATCACGTCTTAGCCTTGTTCATTTCTTGTCTTCTTAGCTTCGCGATGTTAACTCATAGCTAAGCGAAGCCGCCGCGGAACGAGAATTCTTGCCTTCGCTTCGCTATGTGTCTATAAACCGAAGGCGAAGGCACGAAGCCGCGAAGTGATTTCACCTCGCCTTCCGGTTATGACAACTCGGACCAAAGAAAATAATTTGATACTTATGATTTCCCTTTTTTAGTTTATATACATTGACTTTGTCTATTTATTTTCATATTATCAGACCACTTCCACTGTCAGACCATATGTATCGATTCTTTTCGGAAAATAAGGAAGAAAAGGAAGCCGTTTCAAAGCAAGCAGCTGGCGATTGGTTGGTGTTCCTCAAACACAGAGCAAAAGAATTAAAACAAGGTATTAGATTTTGAGATAATATGATTTGTCCATTATTTTGTTTGTCCATCATGTTGTATCTTTAAAAGACAGAGTCCCACTTTCAACAATAACAATGAATGTAATGAGTTTTGTATAATAACGTCTATGCATTTTTGTATGATATACTGTTTATTGTTAGAATTTCTTCTGTATACCGTGACTGTAAATATATTTTGTTTTCATTTTCATAATACTTGACAGTTCATACAATGTTAGTCTGTTCTATAATACAGGTGGCTGGGGAGTGTTCTCAACGCTAACAGAGACGGGCGCTACACCAGACAAGCCTGCAATGATGGGTGCCCATGATATATTTGCTATTATGGATGAAATTTGGAAATGTTTTGTTTTAAAGGGCCTAATAACTAAGGTAAGTAATGTGAAACTATGCGGACACTGACTGTCAATCTCAGGAAATTTGCTGTAGGGGTGTTACATCGAGCATGACAAAATTGGAATACAGTCCATGTTCTTTGTTTCAGGAAGAATACAGTCGGTGCACGTTTGCTGCATGTTTTAGAAACGCACTTGAGTTACAGGAACCGTTTAGCTCTGAAGAATTAAGTGAGACAGGTTTGAGACTTGATGACGTTAATTTTGCTAAAATCCCAGGCTTTTTTACTACGGAATGGAGAGAACGTTTAAAACAAGGTAATTATCATTTTAATATTGCCCGCCTTAGACTCATAGTTTTCCACCAATTTCAAAAGATCACCACAAGCATGCAGATGAAGGAAATAGCCATGTTCATAAGCCCAGTCGGAGCAGAACAGTAGGACGTTAGACATGTGACCCAACTCAATGCATTTTTTGTGAAACGTACCACGATATGGCATCATAAAACATATATCATAACAGAAAATACATTTCTTATACCCCCTTCACGTCAGGCTCTTTCTGTTTTATGTCTGTTCTCAATATATACATGTATATCTATGACATCGATTTATATCCTTTACGCGTTCTTTTGATTGTCATTTTAAAACTTCTCCAAAGCTTTAGCCATACGAATGGTAAATCTATAATCTCAAATAATTGAACAGCTGATTCAGGACTAGGTATACAGGCTTGACCTAGACCATATAGACACGGGAGCCGCTCCTACAAAATAAACTCTTTTCTTATCCTAATATGACACAAGACTGATTGGTACATGGTAGCTAATTAATAATTGGTTATCAACACTATTAAACACAGTAAATAAATAAATCCGCACTATACAATATACCATTTAGAGATTCCAAAAGATCACGATATACATGTAATTACTCTTTTTGACTTTATACTGTTCTATATACTGAAATGCGGTTTAACGCCCTATTGTTCAGCTCTGACATGGTCTAATGAAGATGGACATACACCATACAGTGTGCTATGAGGCACTACGGCTTACTTGTATTTTGAATTCTAAGTGTCAATGATTCTGTTACGTGCACGACAATTTGTGCACGGGACCTCGACCTTCGTCCCATCTGAACGACTATACGTAGTCTGTTGCCATGCCCCGTTCTGCACCACGGATAAGGGGAAACCACGCACGAAAATTCCGATTAACCGTCTCAGCCATCATCGGGGATCGAACACGGACCTCCAATATCTTACTCACTCAACCATTAGGACTGTACGGAGTTGTAGATTTGTGGACGATTATTTCTGACACACGGTACTAATTTATTACAGGCAATGATGACAGAGCAACGTTTGCTAGAGATATCACTAAAAGCACAAGGCCCTACTCTTACAGTTCATTTCATCGTTCATTGAACGAGGACAGAAGTTCCGAGGAGAAATCTCAGATTTGTGATCTATTGTACAACGAGATGGAGAACTATTTTCTATCGAAGCACCCTGAGGATTTCATGACAGATTATTTAACAAACACAGTTTATGTTTATAAAGAATAGATAATAGAATTTGCATACAAATTCCTTATAATATGATATCATAATAGATAATAAAGTTGGCTTTCTAATTAGCTATTATATGATATTGTAAAATCCAGAATACTAAAAAGTCCTTTGCATTAAATAGTATCAATAATATGAATACATTTGGACTGGACTATTCAGTTCAAGCAACAGTATGAATACATTTGGACTGGACTCTACTGTTCTAACAACATAAATATTTATTTCATTAATATAGACATATGGATCGAAAATATGAAAGACAGATAAAACCAATGAAGATATGCTACTTTTAAAGACTGGACCAAAGACTCCTCTAAAAATCTAGAGATCTTCAACAGTTGTTTAGATTTGGGGTTATTTTACCTCCCAATACAGTTCATTGATATTACCAATTGCGGGTAACTTTTCCAGCTTTCGACATGGGGGATCCTTCTATTCATTTTTGTAGGCTTCATTTTGAATTCGGTGTCACTGGCTTTGAAATGAATTGAAATGAAATGAAATGGGGGTTTAACGTCCCACTGACCTGCTCCAAATTGGGCTAATGAAGACGGGCATACGCCATACAGTGTGCTATGAGGGTGATTTTGCCCAGACAACAACGTTACGGCCTACTCATAATCGAATTCCAACCGACAAGGGGTCTTTAACATACACGCTCTGTGCCACTGACAAGGGGAAACCGCACTGGAAAATCTCAATGAACTTGCTCGGCCAACACAGGGAGCCAACCCGCGACCTTCAGGCTAGTGAGACAGGGTCTTACTCACTTAGCCACTGTGGCTCCCATGGCGACAGGGCAATTTCCTAGTAATACTAGGCCTATTACTGTATAAGATGTAAGTGAACCGGGCGGTCTGACGGTTCTGAATACAAATTTACAAAATTAAAAATTATTTTACAAAATTAAAAATTATTTTACAAAATTGAAAATTATTTTACAAAAATAAAAATAGGAAATCAAAAATTACAAAATAAAAATAGGAAATCAAAAATTACAAAATTAAAACCCTAACCCAACCCAACCCAAACCAAAATCGAAAATAGAAATTCTACTTATTTTAAATATAAAAATTAAAAATAAAAATAGGAAATAAAAAAACCCCAAAATAGTTCGTATTTGTGCGTCCGTTGGTTAGTGCATATGTATTTAGGTTATAGTAAATCAATGCCAGAATATAGGTATCTGTAAATGACCCTTTGATAAGTGATTTACAATTCGATCTAGGTCTTTGCAAGATACTTTGAATTTTGGTGTATTGTTGGTGTAATTTGAGAAAGATATTGATAAAACTGATGTTTACTCTCAAAATGGACAAATTATGAAATACAATAAAATGAAACACTTCAGTATAAACTAGGATAATAATTAAATGAACACACTCCAGTTTAATCTAGGATAATATTTAAAGATTGTTTTCTTAAACTTTTTGAGAATTTATAGTAAATCGAATAAACGTCGTTTATCAACCCTACCCAAGCCTTTAACTTAGTAAAACAGGAAGATAAAAGCATTATTGATTCACAAGTAACGAAACCATACAATATTGGCACCCCGTTACATAAAGTATCATAACCTTCTTAACTTACCATATGTAAACCGTAAATAAACAATCAAAAACAGTGTCGCCTTTCACACTTCTTAACTTTGTGACCAGATTCATAGTGACACCCTTTCATTACTCTTCTCTCAAAGTTAAGTGGTGTCTAAATACCTCTAAATTTATTGATTAACCCGCGACTTTTGCCCCAAGTATGGGACTACTGTAAAAAAAAATTGGTAAATCAACAATAAAAGTGTAGTTTTACAAGTTAGAACTGTATTTTTATTACATGTAATCTGTATTGATACGACTATGTTGGTTAAAAGTACATGTATGTTGTACTTTAACTGTTTTTATGGGTAATTCTACAATTAAAACATGTTTAAATACAGGAATTTGTGTACAATTACAAGCGTATAGACTGTATACGGACTCTAAACCTTCTCGAAATGTCTTGGAATTGTGATGAATTAATCACTACTATGTCAACATGCTGTTCACAAAAAATTGCTTTGATCCATTTAGCAAGTCGTTTTCTAGAGTGATTTAATTAAAGTGCCTCTCTGATTTTGAAATAGCACTGAAGTTTTTTTTTTATTTGCTGTTTTGCTGTTATTTGCTGTTTAGTATATGATTCCCGTATAACGAAACACGTCCTGTTTCATTATTCGTTATTCGTTAATCCTAGTTTTTATTTAAGCAGGTTTTTATGGGTTATCCTCAAGAGGCTGGTCATTCATGACATCATTACTTTTTCTCTCATCAAAACTTTCTCATCTTATTATCATGTAAATTTATATAATCACCTCTATTGTCATGTTTGATATGCCTCTTGGAAAAAAAAATTAAATAAACAAATAAATCAAACTCGAAAAGCAATATGTGTGGATTGGGGCCTGCAACCGGAAATGAAAATACTTCCTTATGTTGTTTACTTCTAGTGACGCAAATATAAGGAATTTATTATAGCAATGAATATGTTTCATTTACAGGTGTATTCGCATGGCTGCTTTGTTGTATATGGTAATCAAATTTTATATATGGTGAATTAACTCAACAGGAAACAGAATAGGGAAATAGAATTTATTTATTTAAGTTATGATATGTTTAATTCATTGATTTATTCGCATGGCTGCCATGTTGCATATCATAATCAAATTTTATACATACGATGCATTAAGTTACCAGGAAACGGAATGTAAAAATAAAATTTCACGGCAAAAAGTAAATAGAGTTAGTCCAGCTCTTATATTACCTTCCCAATTCACAATTATCTGACGAACTAGACAATTCCGTATTGATGAACGGACTTCGGATTTTTACAAGATGTCACAATCCTTGGTCGGTTCCAGGTCCATATACTTCGCTCGTCCTTGGGTAAGCCATCTCTAAAATCAGCAGCACTCGTTCTATTATTCCCGCATGTATTATCTTTAAGTGTCATTCATTAATTCCTATCTGTTTACCCGGTATTGCCTGGGTAGGGCTTAGTGAGGGTTCCTTATAGGAGTTTTGTGAAACAGGAAGTAGTATAACTCGGAGACAGGTACGTCACTACCCGATTCGGGCCACTAATGGATACGCCTGGATGATCAAGATTGATCAAAGCATTCACGTCATATCGTCAGATTTCGTTGTGAATCAGTCGTTACCCATCACCTCTGCATTGCTTTGTAGAATATGTTTTCTTTGCCCTTACAAATGACGCCCGAATCCATCGAATACACGACCCGTTTACTGACTTTGTTATGTCCATTGTATCTTAAAGCGATAAGTGCATATTTTCTAAGAAAGTAAAATCTATTACTTAATAGGTTGTCAAATCACTACTATACAATCATAGGAATCATCCTAGTGTAATGAAATGAAATGAAATGGGATTTAACTTCCTACTGTTCTGCTCCGAACTGGGCTAACGAAGACGGGCATACGCCGTACAGTGTGCTATAAGGAAAATTCTGCTCGGACAGCGACACTACGACCTACTCTTATATCGAATTCCAACTGTCAAGAGATCTTTTACGTGCACACCAATGTGTACACGGGATATAAACATGGATGGCAGAATCGAGCTTAGAGTTAACCGAGAAAGTACCAAATGATTTTTATCTGATATTAAATCTGGCGATTCCTTTATGAATAAACAGCCTTCTGTGGTAGAACTGTAACATAGAACAATATAAACAGTCTTCTATTGATTAAATTAAGATTCCAGATGTTACACTTCATGTGTTAGTACAATTGTTGACAGGTTCTTCTTAAGGGGCCCAAATGGCCATAGAATACATAATGCTCATATTCATTACATGAAAAGGGTCCTCATTCACCAACAAATACAAAACTCAAAACACAAAACCACAGGGAAAATGGAAATCATTTTAGTTTTTATTTTCCGTTTTTACCCTCAATGGAAAAAAATACGCGTAAAAGCCATAAATATGAACTATACACGTAATGGACGAATAATGATTACCGTGCATCGTAATCAATAATGATATTTGACTCCTCCATGTGAAAGTATTGAGTATGGACAAAAAATGATGATGGTGCGTTGTAATCAGTAGTCATCAATGTAACCAATAGTAATACTTGGCTCCTACCAGTCATCAATATAAGATATTCCTCTCAACCAATAGTAATTCTTGACTCTTCCCAGTGGGCTTATTGACCGTGGTGGCCGCGTATCTTTCTCTTTACAAAGACTGTTACAACTCGCTTGTGTTTAAAAGGACGCGCACACAGAACACTTGTCATTGTCTACGATATCACATTAGGTGGAAGTGGACGTAAAACGCTAGAAACGAACGAACGAACACATATCACTAGTGGCGTTTAACTTAAGTTGCCATATGTATACTTCTTTAATTCTGGTGTATCTTGCGGTAGCTCTTACTTTTTCAAGTTGTACGGCACACAGAGAAAGATGTTCGAACTCGCCGAGACCTGAAATTAACCTGAGAATTTTACACTGTGATACCGTTGAAAAATTTAACCTCTGTCGCTGTTGTCCAGGTAATTATTTCTACAATAAACTCTAATTCAACTGTAGCTGCTGAAATTGATGCTCAAAAGTCGACCTATGATCAACCACACATTTTTCTTATGGTTGATACAGGGTTAGGGTTATGTTTCGATTTCTCGCACTAAAATAGAGTTTGTGTTTTCTCGAGCTAAAATACAATAATCGTTTTATTAACTTGTCAAGGAATATTAAAACTAGTAAAATAAGTTTGAACATGAACACATTTAGGCCAAGTACTAAATCATAATTTGTTTTTTTAAACTATATTTTTTTCAATAAGAAAAGGATTGGGGAACAGGCTATATAACCCCCCACCCTCCCTTCAACAAAACAATATAGTTACAATTAGTTTACTTAAATACATGTATTTAGTCAAAACCATTCAAATCGTGTTATTAATTAATAAAATTATGAAAGGATACAGTGATATTGTTATAAATAAAAAGGTATTTTTTATGTACATAATATGTTGGTTTATGGCCTGAAAGTGTACAAATAGACACTAGTGATGGTAATAATAATAGACGATTACAGTACTTAAAATCTATTACTTAATTCTAAAAAGTTTTGCACCTTAGAAAATATTAATTTATTTTGTTCAAGTAAAATGTCCTTAGAGCCATACAATATAGATTTTGTGTTGACGTATTCTTTTGGTAAGGTTTTTATAGTTGTGTTTCGTGCATCTGAATATAAGGGACATATCAGAAAAAATTGTGTCCACATCGGTGGGTTAGAGAGTCGGTTATGTGTTTTTAAAATGCATGTCCATTTAGATCACTGTTTGATAAAATAGATGATTTTAAATTTGCATTTACCAATATTGTAATAAGAAGGTACCAAGTGATCATGTTTTGTTTTAAAATTGAATAACGTATCTGAATTACGTATTAAGAAAGATCTAAATTATTCCAAAGTCGCGTAGTTGAAGGAAAGAAAGAATTATAAAATAAATTAGTGTTACAAAAATAATATGCAAAGTTTTTATCGTTTCTTGATGGATATTTACTTTGTTTTTTGTTTAAATTATCATAAATGTTATCAGGGGTTAAGTGGTTTATTATTTATATAGAAATATCAACGACGTTGTTTTAGAGGTAATATATCGACTTCTTTATATAGCAAATCATGGCTAGTTCTCTTCATTGTGTGTAAAGCATTTAATTGTAATTGTCCTAACTGGTTTGCTAAGTATTCCGTACACCCATCCAAAATAATGTCAGCATAGTCAAAGTGTGGTAAAAGTATATCATATTGTTTTGAATGATTTCCTTCCTAGTCGGTGATCTTAAGCAGTTGATAAATTTTGAAACTTTATTACAAAGATTTTCTATATGTATGTTCAATTTAAGATTATTTTGTAAAATAAGTCCCAAATGTTTGTGGTGAGATACTTCATTTATTTTAAGCTTGTTCATGCAAAGAGGAATCGAATCGTGCTTAGATGTGGTTGATATTGTTAATGTTTCAGTTTTATCAGTATTAAAGGAAACTAGCCATGTTTTAGCCCATGTGTATATTCTCTCAATATCTGAATTTAAAATTTGGGCACCTTTTGTAGGATCTTTAATCAACATATATAAAGAGGTATCATCCGTGAATAATTTTATATTTGACTGTTATTTATCGACAATGTAATTAATGAAGATCAGAAGAAAAAGTAAAGGGCCTAGAACCAAGCTCTGTGGATCACCGACAGTAACAACTGAGGTACCAGAGGAGGTATTTTCAACAACACAGTCACTGTGTTCTATCAGTTAAATAGCTTTGAAGCCACTCCAACAAGCCTCCTTTAATACCAACAGTGTCCAACTTTCAACAGAGACCAGCACGCCAGACCCAGTCGAAAGCCTTGCTGATGTCGCAGAACACGATTCTCACATAATGCCCGTCATTTATTGCTTTTGAAAATAAATGGTTTTTGTCTATAAGTTGATTTATAGTTGAGTCCTCTTTCATGAAACCACTTTGTCATTTTGTTATTAGTGAGTTGTCGCGAATGAAGTTAAATATATGCTTTGTATGCATTTTGCACACATTTTAGAGACTATATAATCTTAGCAATGAGACCGGTCGATAGTTAGAACTGCATTGGCCGAGAATGTGATGCAGAACGGAGGGCCTGACAAGGACAGCTGCCCAGTCGTTCGGATGGGACGAAAAACCGAGGTCCCGTGTACCCATTGGCGTCGATATAGGAGTAGGCCATAGCGCCGCTGCCTTGGCAAAATTTCCCTCATAGCACACTGTATGGCGTATGCCCGTCTTCAATTAGCCCAGGTTAGGTGCAGAAGAGTAGGACGTTAAACCCTATTTCATTTCATTTCGATAGTTAGAACAATCTGATTTACTGCCTTTTTTTGTGGAGAGCCAAAACGTTTGCATGTTTCCAAGTTTGGGGAAAAGATCGAGTATTGAGTGAAAGATAAAAAAGAGAACATAATGGAATATAAATTTCTTTAGCAACTGACTTAAGTAATTTACCACTAATATATTATCGAGACATCAATACAACTAAGCATATCTTTAACTTCATTAATTAAGTTCTCTTTGTGACTAGGATAAGGCAGAGAGTGATTAATATCGTTCACTTCAGTCTGGTTAACAAAAAATGTATTCAACGCCTCTGCTTTATCGCGTGGTGTTAATGATGCGTTGTTGTTGTTAGTATTGAGTGGTGGGATAGTGTGATGTGATGACCCCTTTTCTTTTACAAACAAGTTGACCAGTTTCCACCAAGATTTCGATCCAAAATTTAACCGTCGTTTATGTTTTGATCTATTTTTTTTTCATAATAGTTACGTTTACAATTTCTTATTAAACAAATATAACCATTTCTTATTTTCCGAAATGCATTCCAATGTTCTCTTGAATCAGAATTTCTTGCTGTTATGTGAATTTTGTTTATAGCTGTGTTTAGGCTTGGGGTGAAATGAAAGGACAGTGATCGCTACAAAAATAATCCAAGGAGTCGGTTGTCTTAACAAAATTTGGACAATTAGTTAAAATTTGATCGAGTAATGGATTTCTACCGCGTTCGTTATATCCAGTTGATGAGTTAATTAATTGTTTACGTTTACAATTTTTTATTAAACAAATATAACCATTTCTTATTTGCGAAATGCATTCCAATGTTCTCTTGAATCAGAATTTCTTGCTGTTATGTGAATTTTGTTTATAGCTGTGTTTAGGCTTGGGGTGAAATGAAAGGACAGTGATCGCTACAAAAATAATCCAAGGAGTCGGTTATCTTAACAAAATTTGGACAATTAGTTAAAATTAGATCGAGTAATGGATTTCTACCGCGTTCATTATATCCAGTTGATGAGTTAATTAATTGTTTTAAGTTGAAAATGTTGACGACTTCATAAATAAAAGAATCTGTTACCTGGCGAAAATCTATTTTAAAATCTCCATGATAAAACATTTCGATATATCATCTAATAAAGGCAAACTAATAGAATTTAAAATAGTATAATTTAACTGAGAAAAATTATTGAGATACCTATAAAATGTACCCAATGTATTGATTTTAATGTGAATTTCGATTCAAATACACTCTGTATCTTCAACTTCCAAATCAATTGGCGCATTGGCCCAGTTTGAAGCAGAACAGTAGGACGTTAAATCCCATTTCATTTCCTAATTGGTGCTTGGGTTTGAGATTGATCTATCGGGGATGTCTGGTCGTCGAAATAAAGTACCGTTATGTCCTAAACAGATCGACAACAATAATATTTAAGGATACAATTCTGATATAAAATAAAACGAACTATATATCTATCTTTTAAAAAAGAGACAGTCCATGTGAGCAGTAAAATGCTGAAGTATTGATATATATACATTAGTCTCACATAAAATTTCATGCAACGTTTTGTAATAAAAGATAGAGTGTAATGGCCGCCAGTACCAGCCAGGAATAAAATAGCTCTGGAGAAATTGTGCTGTACTTCAAAAATACTAACCAACAAAGTGCCATTCCTTCTTGTAATGTTAAGATAAGATTATTATACATGTTTATTTGGATTTTCGTGAAATTCTGTGGATTACCTTAATCTTAATTTTAGAATTGTGGATTCAAAAATATAGTGACAATTCTTAAATAGAGCCGTGAATACTTAATACTATATGGATAATAAAATACGGTAAGCTATTGCTTCGTTTATATGGATATTACAATCTGCTAATTTATGTGAATAATATACAAAATATACTTAAAATATACGAAGATGGAAGTAAATTCATTTGAAAACCAATCCTCTCAAGTAAGTTCAAATTGTGAACCAACACCAATTGATGTCAATAACAATGAGTATTTCACACTTAGTGACTACACAGATAAATGCTGCAGTGTTACAGTACAATTTATTCAACACTCATATTTTAACATAATGGAAAAACTGTTGCATTTACACTATTCGAAAGACAGTTTTCCAAAATTTCATCATGGTTTTGTTTTAACTACTGAAATGGGTGGCAAAAAACTCAAGATTTATCTATACCCAACAACGGATATGGTACATATTCAAGGAGGGGACTGCATAGCATGGATTACATCTGTTTTTCCAAATCTTCTGGATAAATTCGCAGGAGATGTGAACAGTATTGAAAATACCTCAAAGGAAGATATAGTAGATTTATTTGATGTTAATTCTGAATACAGCCATAGCACATCTAGAAATGTAATCATACCACTCCCTGTGGAAAATAGTTCACTTGATTTCATTCCTCCAATTTATTCTACACCTTATCAATCACAAAATGTACATGTAACGAACTCTAACCTAGACTGCCTGTTTGAGAAAATAAGAGATCTTGATAGCCAAGTGTTTCAACTTCAAGAGGCCCTCAACCATAAAATCAGTTACGTTGACAGTGCAACTCAAACAGACCCGGTAATGCTAACCAGTCAGGAAATCAACACAGACACTATCAAAATCATATCAAATGAGACACCAGCAGTAAATCAACAACAAAATACTAGTGAAGACAAACCGGTTAGTACAAGAGATAATACTTCAGACAACAATGTATCCATTATAAATCTCCATTCCCACGATGATAAGAATGTTACAACAGAAACTACCACCCACACGACCCCATCAACATCAAAGACACGTGCCAGTACAGATACGCCACTAACAACTAGAACCTTAACTGAAGAGAGACAGGATGGACTAAAGGTCATTGACACCAGTAAACCCAAAGAACCACCGATTGTAATTGGAGATAAATTGTCAAATGAAACCCAATCCCAGAAAAACATTCTTCTTATCGGCAGTTCCATTTTACAAAGAGTTAAATTAAATGGGCTAAAATCAAATGTTAAAGTGCTGTCAATTAATGGTGCCAAGATTTTCAACATTGTCAAAAATCTACAGCGCATGGATCTCAGCATGTATGACAAAATTATCATTCAGGCTGGAGGGAATGACGTATCAGAGCTACGGTCCTTATCTGATATTACATATGACCTGAAAAGAACAGTGGACACTATTAGAAAAAAAAGGCCAAATGCACATATTTTCATCTGTGAGGCTACACCAAGACATGACCAGACAGGACAAAATATCGATCATAACATTCAATTTTATAACAATGTCCTTCGTGAGTTTTGTGTTCAAAAGGCAGTAAATCTAATTCGAGTGTTTGATTCAATAAAATCTGACTACAGACATATTTGGAAAGACAATATTCACTTGTCTGACAGAGGTACATCTGCACTACTACATATTTATGAAGAATATGTAGACATTATCAAGGAAAGACTAGACATTAACAATAGTTTCATTAAACCCTGTTTCTTCTGTGGTATTTCGGGTCATACAAAAGACACGTGTAAAATTGGTACCAAGGTTACATGTTACCGGTGTAATATTGAGGGTCATAAAGCGAATTATTGTAAAGCATTTCATAGGCAATATTGTACAGATAGGTACTAGGATAAAGGCAATGTTTTTGAAGCCGGAAAATCTACGTATGAAACTTCCTTCGATAATCCTGTTGATACTGATAATAATAGTCTGATTTTTGAAGATCATAAAAGTAATGATCCAACGATGCATAAAGGCGACCTCAGCAGTCAGTTTATTGACTCTGATGTAACCCTCGATTCATTACAATCCATCAATTATCCCTCTGTTTCCACTTTATTTTCAACCAAACGTAAAGGTTTTAAAATAGGTCATTTAAAAATAAATAGACTTTTCGGTAAAATTGATGAAGTAAGGGATTTAATTTTGCAAGATAATGAAAATTTTAATGTCATGGGCTTTTCTGAAACGTTTTTACATTCTGAAATTGACGATAAATTTATTAATATCTTTGGTTATGATCTGATCAGAAAAGATCGACTGAGCAAAAGTGGCGGAGGCCTTATCTTATATGTAAATTCAGATCTAAAATATTCAAGAAAACTTGATTATGAACATCAAAATATCGAATCCATTTGGATTGAACTCCATCCAGAATATGAAAAATCATTTTTATTATGTCTTGTATATAGACCACCTTCTTCGTGTACAGGTTGGTTTGATGATTTTGAAACTAGTTTAAATTCCATAAATACTGGTCAATCTATTTATGTAATAGGAGATTTTAATATAGATTATTCAACTACTGTTCCAAAACGATGGGAAAACATAATCAGTATGCAGGGATTACATCAATTAATTACTGCCCCTACACGCTGTTTTAAAAATTCTTCTACTGTCATTGACCATCTATATACAAACACACCGGATAATATTGTTGAAATTAAAGTTCCTCAATATGGTATTAGTGACCATTTTCCGATTATTTTTATTATTGGAAACTGCAAGAGAAAAATCACAAAACACAACCACTTGGAAATTCTATACAGAAATTACAAAAACTTTGATGATTCTAATTTTATTAATGATCTTGCTAAAATTCCATTTGAACTAGTCGAGTCAATTGATGACCCAAATTCTGCCCTTGATACTTGGTATAACCTTTTTAAAGGTGTTTTAGACTGCCATGCTCCGCAAAAGCGAAAAAGAGTAAAAAGATACTATCAACCGAAGTGGTTTAATGAGGAAATAAATAAAGCCCGAAAGTTCAGGGACTTCTTTAAAGCCTCCAAGAGGTGTGACGACTATAGAATATGGAGAAATAAAACCAAAAATCTCATTAATAAAGCCAAAAAAAACTTTATCAAGGACTCTATCGAAAATGAAGAGCAATCTAAAAACATATGGAGATATTTTAGTGACATACAGAATATACCCAATAATTGCCCTTATCCCAATAGTATTAAATATGGAAAAACAACAGTTAATGATCTAAATGCTATTGCTAATGTGATGAATGATTACTTCACTAATTTAACTGATGACATTAAGCCCCCCTATACACCACTTTCTCAAGAGTGCAAACGAAAGATATCAGATTACGTAAATGATAAGATTCCCCCAAATAACAACTTTTCTATTAATTGTATTACTACCACAGAGGTATTAAAACATTTATTGAGTTTAAATAGTAACAAAGCCATTGGGTATTGGACCCAAAATTTTAAAATTGTCTGCGTATACAATTTGTAGCAGTTTGACATATATCATTAATCTTTGTATTTCTCAAAACATGTTCCCCAGTGCCCTTAAACTGGCTAAAATTATTCCTATACATAAGAAGGGAGCTAAAGATGATCCGAACAATTATAGGCCAATCTCAATTCTCCCCACAATTTCAAAAATATTCGAAAGGCACTTGAGCACTCAAATTCAAACTTATTTGGAAACCTTCAATGTTCTTTATGCTTACCAATCTGGATTTAGATCAAATCATTCATGTGCTACTGCACTGATCCGAATGACAGATAATTGGCTTGATGCTATCGATAATGGTGCGATGAGTGCTATAGTGTATCTTGATTTTAGCAAAGCATTTGATCTCATTGATCATAAGCTTATTATTGAAAAACTACATCTTTATCGATTTGATAATAATTCACAAATTTTGATTGAATCATATCTTGACTCACGGAAGCAAAAAGTATGTTTAGGATCAATTACCTCCTCAATTACTACAGTCAAATGCGGGGTTCCACAAGGTTCGATCCTGGGTCCTCTCCTATTCCTAATTTTTATAAATGATCTCCCACTCAATATTGAATCAAGTCAGATAGATTTGTTTGCTGATGACAGTACCCTGCATTGTTCACACAAAGATATTTTATCCATCGCCAAAAATCTCCAAAATGATCTCTATTTGGTTGCTAAATGGTGTGAAAACAATGGGATGGTAATCAATCCTTCGAAAACAAAATCAATGCTGATTTCAACAAAACACAAAAGAAATCAGAAAAACCTAACTTTATCACTCCATGGTGAGAAAATTGAGACGGTTACTACCGCAAAATTACTTGGAATTCAAATTGACCAAGACCTTAATTGGGAAGCACAGATAGCAGATATGTCTAAAAAACTTGCATCAAAAATATTTCTCCTAAATAAGATAAAAGATCATTTACCTTACGAGACAAGAATTTTGTTGTATAACAGTTACATACTACCAATATTTGATTATTGCTCTATTACTTGGGGAAATGCTACCAAAAGTAGATTAGACATTCTTTTAAAATTACAAAAGAGGGCAGCAAGAGCTATTCTTGATGCACCGATTGAAACTCCGTCCACCTCTTTATTTACTAAACTCGGTTGGCTTACCCTTATACAGAGGATTCTTTACAATAAAATTGTCTTATCATTCAAAATTATTACATTTAATACTCCACTTTATCTAAATTTCTATTTTATTGAAAAATCTCTTGTTTCCAAAACGGATATCTTGCTCCGTTCACAGACCAGTAAATCTCTTTTTCTTCAAAAATGCAAAACGGAATCCATGAAACGTACTTTTCATTATTCTGCATGTCTTTTATGGAACAATCTGCCTTTTGATATAAAGATGTGTAAAAATGTTGAAAATTTTAAGATTAAACTGAAAACTCATTTATTTTGCACACTGAAGGAACCATAATATTCAACTGATGACATACTTATTATTTTTAACTTGCAACTGCATTCTATTTTATTTTGTGTGTAATTATAGTGTTCTTCCTATATTCTACTTGTATAATGTATATGTTTTGTAGTTTGGGAGTGACTTATCAAACTTCCCACTTTAAAATGCTATTGCATTTCTAATGATTTTAAATTTATCCTGATATTACATGTATATATGTCTTTGTAGTTTAGGAGGGACCTATGGACGATTAGTTTTTTTTGCAAACTAAATACGTTGCCTCATTAAATAAAGTTTTTATTATTATTATTATTATTATTAATGATTTGATGAGCTCTTGCAGTGCTTGATGTGCTTAGGATAATCATGAGAGAATCGCCGTTCCACTTATTTAATCTTTTGCACACAAATCAAACTTCTGGATCAGTGTCAATTTCATAATTGACGTTAGGTGTTGGGATGGGGTTATTTGCGTTTTGGGGTGTTGACATGATTATTCCAACATCAACTAGTGATTGCTTACGGGCCGCGGTGTTAACTTACGAACCTACATTACCGGGAGCATTCCGTGCTGTAGCATTTGGTCTAGCTTGTTCGATCAGTGTGTTATGTATTCTACTAGTTGGATTTAATTGATGCTCATCAGACTGAATAAACTGATTCAATCTTCTTACGAATTGATGACTATTGTTCGTGGCTTAACACGGTTTAGCGCCAATGAATCCCCTGTAGCCTTGTAATTTTGATTTCTTAATTAAATGTTAAATGATCAGTGTAAGTACTTATTGCCGTGGATAACGCTGTGCTATTCTCTTTATAATGCAAAGCATATATAGTTACTGTAATGTGTAAATATTACATGTGTAAATACTACTGTGTTTTTCAGTTAATCCATGTGAAAATGTAGAATGCATGAATGGTGGAAAATGTATAGGTGACGGTGTTTGCGAATGTGTTTCTGGTTACAGTGGACCAACGTGCAACAGTAAGTATTGTCGTGATTTTTGCCTTAAGAGTCAACACTGAGTACCTGCCTGTAAATCACATGGTTTATGTATAACTATTACTGTGTTTTTCAGTTAATCCATGTGAAAATGTAGAATGCATGAATGGTGGAAAATGTGTAGGTGAAGGTTTTTGCGAATGTGTATCTGGTTACAGTGGAGTAACGTGCAACAGTAAGTATGTTGTGATTTGTGTCTTAGAGTCAATACTTTATCTGCTGGTGAATCCCATGGTTTATGTGTAAATATTACTTTTTTTCAGTAAGTCCATGTGATGGCGTGGAGTGTTTGAACGGGGGACAATGTGTAGGTGAAGGTGTTTGTAATTGTACCTTTGGTTTGGGTGGAGCTACTTGTAACAGTAAGTATCTGTTGTGATATTGATCTTTATAGTGAACACTTTACCTACTGTTGAAGCACAAGATCAGATGAGACTTCACCTATTGCTCATGAATATATGACATATCTAATATATTACCAATATTATAATTATTTTACAGTGAGAGTATATTACGTGTCCAATATTATAATTATTTTACAGTGAGAGTATGTAACCTGACCGAATGCAACGAAAGACGTGGAACGTGTATAAAAGTGAGATGTACGACCAATGGTAAGATACCTAGTCTTCTATCAACTCATTTATAACCAATTCAGTTATTTATTATTCACATACGACTCAAATAACTGTAATGTTGTAATTTACTAATATAAATTAAAATCCCCTCATATAATCTCTGGATTAATCTGCCAAATAAATAGATATTTCACATTATTTTTAAAATAGCTAAATAGATAAATAAGTGAATTGTAAATAGTTTTTCCTCAACTAAAAAATGTAATTTGCCAATCTTCAAATCTGTAATTTGGTTTTATTTTTCAGCTACCAATTGTGGAGGTAAACGATGTAATGAAGCTAACGACGAATTATGTATTAATGATACTTGTGTAGTCAGAGGTAAGCATGACATGTTACCTATCTGTTGCTTAAAATTGTATTATCTAGCCCAGAATTGAATTTCTAACGAATATATACAAACAGCTATGTCATTAGTCTAAACTTTATAAACAGTTCCAATGAAAACTCAAGTTCATAAGATGATCAATTACAATAGAATTAATGAAAACTGTCATCAAACATTGTCAAGACTTCAAGAAAATCTTGGTAGCTGTACGGCTTACTGATTTTACAAGGTTTACAGACTGTTGATAATTTGCATACCATTTTGACGATACAGTCTGAAAACAGGGAGTGGCCATCTTTAATAAATTCATCATATGCATGCACAGTTTCAACACAATCCGTGACTTCCTGTATGATACTGATAGCCCAAGCACAATCCGTGCTGACTTCATGTATGATACAGATAGCACCAACACAATCCGTGACTTCCTGTATGATACAGATAGTACAAACACAATCCGTGGTGACTTCCTGTATGATAGACCCAGCAAACGACTTATCGTCATGTCATAATACTTGAATTTATATTATATACATGTTGTATATTTCAGGAGACATTTGTTCGGCTATAGATGGCATACTTAGCAACTGTTTTCCTACGGGCATGCTATTTGGTTTTTTTTACAATATTATATAATTTGATAATATTTGATTAAGCTAACCAATTCATATAATCAGTTCATGTTGGCATGTTAGGAATTATATAATCAAATGATTATTTAATATCTATATCTATGGTTGAGAGAAACTATAAATAAATCAGAAATACATTATAAATAAACCAGAAGTACATTGTACTAGCCTCCATTACTCTAATTTTTCAATTGTTTCAGGTCAACCATGTGGGGAAGGTACATTCTGTAGTAATGGTTTTATTAAAAATAAATGTGTAAATGAGACGTGTAGGTGTAAGTATAATATAGATATAATTATGCTATTCATAAAACGTAGTATATTTCTAAAATTAATACCATTCTACTTGCTCATTCGCATACACTTAGCAGGATATGATTAATATCTTAACAATAGGAACACCTGGTAGCACTTTCCTTTGTTAGATGATTTGTCAGATTTTGTATTTTGTCAACATGTTACCCTTTTATCTGATGAAGGAGAATCTTAAACACCATATTCTACATTGTAAATTATGTTTATTATAGTTGTAAGTAGCTGTGATAGACAGGCTGAAGGTGCAAGTTGCACCACTAACTTAGCTACATCTGGCAGTTGTTCAGGTGGACTTTGTCTCGGTAAATATGATTTATATTATAGACATTGGGCAATTTATACCAACCCACGTTATTTATTTATTTTAAAGATACTATTACAAGAAATATGTAAATCTAACTAATTTCTATTTACTTGTTATGAATACAACTATTAGAGATATGATCATCGTGAACCAGGACACGCTCAAGCTATACAAGTGTTGAACGAATTTAGGGCCGGTTTTCAAATTATATATCAAATATCGTATCTTAATCATAGCATAGGACAATGGTAGAAAGGGTCCATGTAGCTGAGTGGTCTGTACACATGTCCTGTAGATTAAAGTATATTTTATCTAATCTATGCTCAGTTTTTGGGGGGTCGCGTTGGCTAAGTGGGTAAGACGTTGGCGCGCTACCCTGGAGGTCCCTGCATTGGCCGAGAAAGTTCACTCAGATTTTCCGGCGTGGTTCCCCCTTGTCAGTGATGCAGGACGGAGGGCCTGACAAGGACAGCTGTCTAGTCACTCGGATGAGACGAAAAACCGAGGTCCCGTGTACACATTGGTGTGCACGTAAAAGATATCTTGACAGTTGGAATTCGATATAAGAGTAGGTCGTAGTGTCGCTGTCCGAGCAAAATTTCCCTTATAGCACACTGTATGGCGTATGCCCGTCTTCATTAGCCCAGTTCGGATCAAAACAGTAGGACGTTAAACCCCATTTCATTTCATTTTTATGCTCAGTTTGAGGGGATTGGATGGCCGAGTAGTCTAAAGCATATGCTCTTATTAGAAGGTCAGCTATCCATGCAAGTAGCCAGTTATCCATACCAGTAGGTATTCCTTTGATCAACTGCCTGGTTGAAATAGTAGCGATAGGACCTAATCATTAGTGATGACGGATTGTTATCTTGATGATATTTATGTATAGATATTTTATTTTGGCGTGTAATGATACATTACTTATATTTATAGCACCATGTAAAGAAGACACGAATTGTGCTGGCGGACCGTGTACTGGTGGATTCTGTGCATGTAAATATTCATTATAGCCTGTTATTAACCGTCCATCATGGTGTACTATAGGTTTACATTGTCTTTTTACAGAGATTTCTAACTTTAATGTAATTGGTACAAATCATAGTGTCTGGGGTGAAAGAGGATGGGGGGGGGGGCATGATCCAGATCACAGATTTCATTTTCTGACCCGGTTTTTCGTTGGAATGAGTTTCCGTAGGCTTGTGTTGACTTCTTTAGTGATTCTATATAAATAATTTGTTGTAAAATGTGGAGAATCATATTGTCAGCACAACTAGTTATATTTTACCCACTGTAGGTTAATCAACCACTGATATATAAGGTTCAATAAACTATATTGTAATATTTAAAACCTATTATAAGATTTAATATAATAAACTTTATTGTAATATTTAACCACTTCTTTTAAATAATTAAATGCTATTTTGTTCTTTTATAAATTATAATTCTAACAAATGTTATAAAATATACTATTCAAAAAAGTAGGGGATATTTGATTTTTAAGTGTTATTAAAGTCACCTAATGAAACTGACGAAGAAACAAATGACAAAATTAAATGAAGTTCACATTCATCGATTTATTCCAAATGATCGTTAGACTAAGTAAGGCACAGACTGACCATTATAAGGGTAAAATGATACCCGGGGTCAAACAGCAAAGTTACCACAGCATCACAACCAAGTCAGTAACGGGTAAATCCTCCTCTGTTTGCCAAACAAGCATTGATCCGACGTGGCATACTCCTAATGAGACGTCTAAGGTCATTTTGGTCCAGATTGTCCCATTCCTGTTGCAACGCAGCAGCAAGTTCTTGGACAATGGCAGAACGTTGTTGACGTTGACGTAACCTCTGTCCAAGGATGTCCCAGGCATGCTCGATGGGGGAGAGGTCGGGACTCAGTGCTGGCCAAGGTAATGTGGTGATGTTCTGTTGTTGGAGGTAATCTGTAACGATCCTGGCCCTGTGACATCTTGCGTTGTCATCCTGGAAGATGAAACGGCGGCCATGACGTCGTGCGAACGGCACAACATGGACTGCCAAGATGTTGTCCCGGTAGTACTGGCCTGTAACACGCCCTGCAACAACATGTAAAGCCGTTCTTCCAGCAACAGTGATGCCTCCCCACACCATAACAGAACCACCCCCAAATCGATCATGTCTGATGACGTTAACGTCCTGGAAGCGCTCGTTTCGACGACGCCACACCCTCCTACGTCTGTCCAAAAAATCAACAGTGAACCTTGACTCATCTGAAAACATCACATTGCTCCAGCGTCGATTATCCCAGTGTTGACGATCCCTACACCAACGACGTCTTGCCTGAATGTGATGATCTCTCAAACAAGGGATCACGCGAGGAAGTCGGGCGCGAAGGTGACCCCTATGCAGTCGATTCCGAATCGTCTGGCCACTCACTCTCACACCAGTGTCTGTTTGAAGACGAGCGCTGATCTGATTTGCTGTGATGACACGATTTCTCAAGGCCAAGGTACGGATAAATCGATCCTGGGCTTGAGTTGTCGCCCTTGGTCGACCTGAGCGTGGTCTGTCCTGTACAGATTGTGTATCACGGTATCTGGACCATAGCCTGCTTATGACAGACTGAGAAACATTCATCGTCCGCGCCACAACCGCCTGTGTTGTGCCGATCTGTAGCATGCCAAGGGCACGTAACCTTTCATTTTGGGTAAGCCGACGCATATCAAAATTTGTTTTCTGGTCACTAAAACAATTAAACTGATGTTTCCACCCTGGAATTCAATGCCACAATGACTAACATTCTAAGTCAGAGTCGCGCAAATCTTGGGTTGGACCCCCATGATGATCCCAAGCATCACCTGCATTCCATGCGGTAGCTATTGGTGCGTTTGGGCGTCACATGTAACTGGAAATGTTTCTTCTGTTAGGTTCTATAGTGACTTTTTTCGTAGTCATTTGCATATTTTAGTATTATGCCCCCAAAATCAAATATCCCCTACTTTTTTTGAATAGTATATTAAAATGTAACCCCGATTGAAAAATAAACGATTTTTGTTGAACCAATGTATCTGTGTTTTTCAGTCATCCATATATTCTTTGTTCACCCTAATTCTGCGATGAGTAGACGAAAATGCCACTGCACGGGAAAAACTACCCTCATAGTACATAGCTTTATATCGATTCATATTAACAGTTTTTATAAACCTATAACGGTAAATCTCTTTGATCTTTGGGGTAAATTCTATGCCCGGAATAACTTGCGATCTTAAAGTCGGGGGCGGCTTTGAATATATATAGGGGAATTTGGGGTTATTCTTCTGAAAGTTTTTCTTTAAACCTGTACCGGGTTATTCTTCCACTGTAGGTTTTTAGTTCCCATAAGAAAACATGAAATCGGGTTTTTCTTACGGGAATTCTGGGATATACTCATGATAGCAGGTAAAATTTGAGTTTTAACAATCTGTTGACTTTATGTGATCGCCCAAAAGCACTATCGTGTATGGCATTAAAGATACCCAACTTTCAATAAGAAATGATATTGGGTTTAACGTCCTACTGTTCTGTCCCGACTAGGCTAATGAACACGGACTTGCGATGAGAAGAATTTCAAGAAATTGGTAATTAATCAACTCGTGTGTGCGGGGGGGGGGGGCGTAACGACCAATCGACACAACCAGGTCATTTCGGGACTAACATATGGTTCAGTTTTATTTCAATAATTCACTTGCGCGTAGGGTCTTTAGCCATGGGAGGAACCCGAAGAAAACCCACGGGACTGGACAGGCGACCCCAAATCCTTGTCACGTACATCTGGGGAATCGAAACAAAGTCAGTTGCAACAAAGGGAAATAAACAACACAAATTATATGCTTTATTATATGCAACTACCTCTTCCCATTACTATCCATATGCGGTCCGGTTATCTGCGGATTATCAAATAGCCTAAATGATTCGTGTTCCTGTCCCCTCTTAGTAAAAAATGCAGACCTGAAAAATTTATCAAAATATTGTATTTGAAGTTAGTTCTCCTTTGAAAATCCCCCCCCCCCCCACACACACACCATTCATTTTGAATTGATTCGTCTAAAATACAGAACAATCAATATACATGTATGTAAAAATTCATGAAAGGAAAATTATCATTCGTTTCGAGCATTAACCCTCTATTTTAAATTTTAGTTTTTAGAAGATAATCTTACCAGTAAGATAGAAGATAGTGTCATTTTGAATCGATTCGTCTAAAATACAGAACAATCAATATACATGTATGTAAAAATTCATGAAAGGAAAATTATCATTCGTTTCGAGTATTAACCCTCTATTTTAAATTTTAGTTTTTAGAAGATAATCTTACCAGTATTGGCAGTAAGATAGAAGATAGTGTCAAGCAAAACAGCCGGTGTATCACTCCCAAAAACACCACGTTTCCATATCGCAAATATCTGTTTGTTTTGGTATTTTCATGCTCGTCTTTCTTGTTAGGCCCAGGTATTACAGTCTGCAACAACAATTCTTTGTCTTCTTCAGAAAACATTTGACATCATAACAAATTCTTTGAATTTAAATCAAGAATTACCTATTAACAGGCGTTATGCAACCATTCGCGATTCAAATAATATTGTGAACAGTGCGTACGCCAGCCAAACTAATGAAAAGGTCGGCCGTGATTTGCACGTGCAAAATTGAACCAATCAACAATTTGATGTATATTTAACATTACTGCAGACGACATGACACAGGGAATATTCTATTTAGATTTAGTGTTATTATTGCCTTTCTAACAAAATGTTTATTACATTTTATTAAAAAATCAAAAATATATATTTATACTGCCAACATATTTACACCCAATTTAATATTGGCGTTGAAATATACCCGAACATACGTAATTTAATTTTCCAGATTATACTCGTATTTTACTTATATTTTCACTTTACATGTAAACATAAACGGTTTATAAGCAAGATAAAGTCCTCGACTTCGGTTATGCTGGGGAAGAAAGACTTCAGAAAAAACCCTCAAAAGAAAAACCTTGGCCTATCGGCCTCGGTTTTTCTGTTTCTCGGGTTGTTTTCTTCAGTCTTTCTTTCCCCAGCATAACCTCAGTCTCGTGCTTTATCCTACACTTAATACCCACTTTATTTCATGTTTAAGTTCAAAACATTAAAACATCCCGTAAAGGGGATATAAAAGTTTCATGATTTGCCTAAATCATCCTAAAGTTATCCTACAAGATGAAGATGCCGATGGGACGATTTACACAAATCGATTAACTCGTGTCACATTACTACATTATTCTGAATATGTCATTTTGTGTTAGAATAAGGTGTTTTGTCTCTCTCCCGATAAACTGTGAGGATTAAAGGATTTAGAACACTTGGGAGAATGACCTTCATGGGAGGTATATATTTTTAAGGGACACCATCCCTCCTTGGAAAAACGATTATACATACCGAAATGAAATGAAATGGGGTTTAACGTCCTACTGTTCTACTCCTATACTAGGCTAATGAATACAGGCATACGCCATACAGTGTGCTATGAGGGAAATTTTGCCCGGGCAGCGGCACTATCGCCTACTCTTATATCGAATTCCAATTGTCCTTGTCAGGCCCTCCGTTCTGCACCACTGACAAGGGGAACCCACGTCGGAAAATCCCGATGAACTCTAGGCCAATGCAGGGATCGAACACCCGATCTCCAGGCAAGTGAGCCAGCGTCTTAACTACCTAGCCACCGTGGCTCCGTTTATCGTTAAGATATTAAACAATAATACATACCGATTATCATTAAACGATGGTCGGCGTTATGCTCTACAACCAATGACGCGTTCTATCTCGATCCTCCGACAGCTAACATTTCCATATTCGTCATGGACACTCTCCACGGTAGTGGCAAATGGAATGGAGGAATTCCCCGATTGGGGGCCCGCCCGTGGGCCTTTCTAGGATTTTACAGACGAAGGTGGGGTGTCACTGGCTTGGGTACAGTTGGAACACCTTGAAGCCATCTTTTACAAAAACATTGGTTTTGTAGTATTCATACAAACGTGTTCAGCAAATTTGCGTGACTTAATAGGAGATAATGTACATATATTCTCCAGTATTAAAGGACATGACATGAAATCGGGGTTTAACGTCCTACTTTTCTGCACCCACTTGGCAAATGAAGACGATCATACAGCATACACTGTTTTATGAGGGGAATTTATCCTGGACAGCGACACTACTACCTACATTTATATCTAATTCCAAATGTCACAGGTTCTTTGACGTACAAGCCAATGTGTGAGTTTTTTGTCCGATGCGAACGACTATATGTTGTCCCTTGCCAAGCCCTTCCCCTTGCACCACCGACAACGGGCAACCACGTCGGAAAACCCAGATGAACTTATTCGGTCAACACAGGGATCTTACAGCTACCCTATATTAGAAGGAGCTAAACCTGTAACTCATTATTTCCAAACTATTCGAAATTAAAAACACGAATTATAATTAGAAATCATCCATTTCAATCAATACTAATGGTGTTATCTTGCCGTCAAACTATGGGATCCCAATTTCGTACAATATTTAAGATACAATGAACATGTATCCGTCCGTCTCTAAACCAGTAATATTTACTTAAACCTGGCCGCAAATTTCAATTAAACCATTTTCTTCCAATTGACATATATAAGAGACGGACAGATATCGCTGTAAAAAAGACGAATGTGATCGTCCTCCTATTGACCATGGATTAGTAATTACCTCCCTTATCTCGACACTCTTCTATTTACATCCATTTTCTCTTACTCTCCACCCCACCCCATGGTATAGACAAAGGATATTTTCTCTTGTTCTCCACCCCACCACATGCAATAGACAAAGGGCATTTTCCCTTGTACGCCACCCCACCCCATGCTATAGACAAAGGAATGTCATGGAATAAAACTTGAAGTCAAGAAGGAGATAATTACTAGCCTGGATTATTAATCCGTAAGAAGTTATAGTTTTTAACAAATCTTTTTTTTAAAATTTGGTACTAAATATAATATAATACTAGAACTGCAATGCAGTGATGTCGGGTTTCATCGGTGCCATGTTACATTTGAACTGACACCATCGAACCGTTATAAAGATTTTCACATGAGTATTGCATAGAATTTATAAAATGGACACAGAATTAGCCAATAATCCCAGCAATATCAGTTCCATTTATACATTTGTTACATATGTCATAATATAAAATCCAGCAAACGAAGACTCGACACATTCACATCACTTCCGTTACCAACAAAATATTTAAATTGGAGGACAGAAATAACCACTTTCTTTATCCTTTCGATGACAGAGAAATTAAACAGAATTAACCCTTTATAAAGCTTTACTAGAAAGCAAAAAATCTTAAAAAGTGATCCTAACAAAATTGGTTATTTCTTGGTAAATAAAGATATTATTAGAAATACCTTTCTGTTATCTAGATGATCGCATTGATTCATTTTATTCGTCCATTGGAATCAAATATCTTATTTTTATAATGAGTATTACTTACTTCAAAAGAATATTTGTTTTGGAGGCTAAAAATACAGTTTTTGCCAAAATGACATTACTTCCAGTGATAACCAAATGTTAAGTTAACTTCATGAAACCAAAAATGGCATTAGGTCTCATGGTGAAAAGTTTGTGAAATTTGAATAATAATTGACACTTTCATGGACGAAAAAACCCTGAAAATTGACTTGTAGAAAAAGTGTCTATTTCTCCGCAACTGAACAAGTAGAAACGATTTTGTGATATCAATATGACGCTATTATTTTTAATTTATCTGTTCAATTATACTTAAAGGTAGCAAATAATACTCAATTGAAAACATATTGATTTTAAAGGTTAGAAATACAGTTTTTGACAAAATGGCGTCACTTCCGGCGTCGATTTTAAATTGTACTCAATTTGATATAACGTGCGTTATGCATTAAATAGTATCACTTTGATGGAAATTCAATCATTATTGACTCTTTTACAGGCAAAATAACGTGAAAAGTGACACATGCAAAATTGGCTATTTCTCGGCAACTGCT